GGTTGGGGGTTCCTTCAGGTTTTTACTGTGTATGCACACAGCCAAGAACATGTGTAGGCTTTCTGAGCCTTAAGATTATAAAGGGTGAACTCCCCTACTCTGTTGGGGGATTGTAAATTGATCCAGCCACTGTGGAGGACAATATGGAGGTTCCTCAACGATCTACAAATAGAACTACCATATATTGGGAACCAGCAGTTAGCATAATGGCTATGTCGCCGGATTCCCACGTAGTCGACCACGGTTCGCGTCCCGGACCCGGTGGCTTAGAACTCACGCTGGGCGCATGTGCGTGCGTGCCCAAGATCCCGAGAGGACAAGGGATTGTGGCGTGACCATCCCCCCTGGGGGGTGATTTCTCACTTTCTGTCTCTATGTCTCTCTCTCTCTCTGTCTGGCGAGCGCACATGCTCTATAGCAAAAACCTCTCAAAACAAAAAAAAAAAAGAACTACCATATGTTCCAGCAATTCCCCTCCTGGGTATCTACCCAAAGGCTAGGAGAACACTCAGTCAGGAAGGTGCTTACACATCTATATTTATTGCAGCGTTATTCACAATCGCTAAAACATGGAACCAATCCAAATGTCTGCAAACAGATGAATGGATTGAAAAAGTGCGGCACATCCACTCTATGGAATACTACTCAGTCATAAAAAAAACCAACTAGACCTTGGCATTTGATAGAAAGTAGACAAATATGGAAGATTTATTACTGAGTGAAGCAAGCCAGGCTATGAAAGAGAGACACTGAATGTCTCCACTTAATATATACCAACTGTTCACACTCTATGGTGGAAACTGAAAGATTAGAGGATTTAGAAGCATGGAAAATGGTTAGGAATACTGAAGACAGTGTGGGGAGAGAGTGAGAGACGGGGGAGAGTATAAGGAAAGAAATCAAGGAGAAAAATAGAGAGGCAAGACATTTATGGGACACAGAAATGGAATATTATCTGTTCATGATAACTGATGTATAGTGTCCTGAACATGACTGGCGAGTATATTGATTGAAAGTGTAAGAGAAATTTTAAAAAGAAAAGGAGAATACTCACATTAAATGTCAAAAAAAGTCAAAATTTGGGGGGAAAAAAAGATAGGAGCGTTTTCTTTTTTAAAAAATGTTGCTATAAGGCATGTGCACTCACCAGAGCAAGACAAGGATAGCCAGAGAAAGGGAGAAAGCAAGCCACCAGGTCCAGGACTCAAAGCACAGTCAGCCACATGAGAGTCCATGCCACCTGCCGGCTCCTGCAGAAAGTTGTGTCAGTGTCTGGTGTGCCACTTACTCCCTAGGTCTTTGAAGTGTTTCCCCCTGATTAATGATATAGTATGCACACACATGAGAAAAAGAGACACGCGCCCTCTACAAGGTCTGGTCATGCCACAATCCCCTTCCTCCAGTTCTCCAGTCTGTCAGATGTTGGGCACTCACATGTACGGCGTGCATGTTTCAGGCCGGGTGGGGTTTGGAACTGTGGTCACCATGTGGGATCCAGCTTCTCTTGAGCAGCACTTGACTGCTGCACCACGCAGCCATCCCTTCCTTTTATGTTTTTGATCCAGCTCTTTTGTCCCAGCTTGTATTGCAACCTCTGGCAGCTACTATATTAGACGTTAAATAGCTGTCGCACATTGTTTCAA